ATCTACTATATTGTTTTTCTTTATAACCTTCACTATAATTTGTAAGTGTGTAATTATTTCATTGTTTAATGTCTGACTCTCCCACTAGGCATCCAATTCCATGGGCAAAAGCTATGTTGGCTTTTAAAGTTCACTCAGGTATCTCTCTATGTGGAGAATTGAGGGAACCCAATAGTGGAGGCAGGGAGACCCTTTAGGAGGATACTGTGGCTGTCCAGATGTAAGAGTACAATGGCTTTAACTGCAATGATAGCAGTGGAGATGCAGAGAAGTGAATCCCTCCAAGTTGAAAGACTGATGAGACTTAGCCAAATGAAGGGAGAGACAGGATGACCTGGGAAGAAGAAAAGTGCAGAGGAAACTTTCTGGAGGACCAGAAAGAAATCCACTGTGACAAAAAATGTTAAAATGTTGTGGTAATTAGTTAATGATGTGTGATGATAGCCATCAAGTTGGCTCCAACTCATGGTGACCTGTGTACAACACAATGAAAGACTGCCTGGTCCTGCAGCATCTTCATGATCATTGGTACGCTCAAGTTCATTGTTGCACCCACTGTGAATTGTGAGTGCCAGCCTAGTGGGCTCATCAAAACAACTCAGAAAACTCACTGCTATCAGGTCGATTTGACTCATAGCAACCTCTCCTTGTGTTTCCAAGGTGGTATCTCTATGGAAGTAGATTGCCCAATCTTCTTCCAAGGAGTGGCTGGTGGGTTTGAACCACCAGCCTTCTGGCTAGCAATCAAAACCTTAAACACTACACCACCAGGGGCTCATCATCCAGCACTATAACAAACGCAACACACTGCCATGGAGTTGGATCTGACATAGTGACCCCTCCTTGGGTTTCCAAGGCGGTATCACTAGGGAAGTAGATTGCCCAACCTTCCTTCTGAGGAGTGGCTGATGGGTTTGAACCACTAGCCTTCTGGTTAGCAGTCAAATGCCTTAGGTACTACACCACCAGAGCTCCTATCCAGCACTATATCAGACAGCATTTGGTTGTGATCCATAGAGTTTTCATTGGCTAATTTTCAGATGTAGATCACCAGGCATTTCTTCCTAGTCTGCCTTAGTCTTGAAGCTGCCCATCATGGGGTGACCCTGCTGGTATTTGAAATACCAGTTGCATAGCTTCCAGTATCCTAGCACTATGCAAGCCTCCACAGTACAGCAAACTGACAAATGGGCGGTGGTGATAAAATGTAGAAACTTTAAATAACAGATGTTTCAATTTAAAAATATCTTAGAGTCAAAGACAAGGTTGTAGTCACTTCTTGGTCACAGCCAGCTACCCAGAAGGACCGAATAGTTGAACCAGTGGGCTCAGGACCATAGTTGCAGGGGACATCAAGCTCAATTGGCATAACATACTACACAAAACATTGTTCTACCTCCTACTTCGGCGAGTAGCAACTGGGATCTTAAAAGCTTGCAAGCAGCCATCTAGACACAATGATGGGTCTCTCCTCATCCAGATCAAAGAAGAATGAAGAAAACCAAAGATTCATGGAAACAATTAGTCCTAGCGACTGGTACACCATGTGATCCTCAGCCTATATGATTATGAGACCAGAAGAACTAGATGGTGCCTAGCTACCATTGTCAACCACTTGGAGGGGGATCTCTGTAGGAGATCCTGGATAGAGTAGGAGAACAATGTGGAACAAAACTCAAAATCATTTGGAAAAGGGGGGGGGAGGAGAGAGACCAGGTTTGCTGGTCTGATGGGGCCTGGTGGACCCACTGAGACTATGGCCCCTATCTGCCCTTCAGGTCTGGAATTGAACCCACACCTGTGGCTTACAGCCAAAGATAAGCATATGAGGTGAACATTTACCTGAGGTAGATACACTCCTTGGATAGAATAATCATGGGAGAAAGAAGGGCTATTTATGCACAGGGAGACAGCTCAGGGGGCAAGAGTGTGTGGAGGGATGGACACAGGAAAGAGGTAACTATTGGGAGGAAGTGGGAGAGAAGCTGTTGCATTGGGGTAGATTGTAGTCAATGTCATGAGACAAAGTGTATGCAAACTTCTGTATGTAAAGTGAATTTGCTCTGTAAATTTTCACCCAAATCACACACACACACACACACACACAAACCTGCAAGCAGCTATCCAAGGCACAGTAGTTGATCTCTATCTTCCTGGAGCCAAAGATGAAGGAGAGTCAGGAATCTGAGAGGAAATGAAATGTGTGGTGTGGTAGTTAAATTTGTAAGTCAACTTGGCTGGTCCTGGTTGAGTGGCTGGGCAGCTGGTGGTAGTTAATCCCCATGATGAGACTGGCAATCACCTCCATGGAGGGATCTACCACAAGCAGATGAGTAGCTGCCTTTGGAATGTGGTCTGCTTCCTGGATATAAGGAGAAGCCTTGGGGATAGTTGCTAGCTTATGGCACGTAGATGTGTCACTGTTCAGCAGCCTGCCATGCTCTACTGACCTTGGTACTTACAATGGACTTGAATTAATGGCCTGCTGTGTGGTTTGGTAACAGTGCCATTTTATTGTTGACTTTGAGCTTATTATCCTCAGCAGCCAGTAGCTGCCTGAGTGAAAAGATGCCTCTAGCTTCAGTGGGCCAGAAGCAAGAGGCT